ATATAACATAGTGCAGTAACGCTTGGGGTGCCACATAGTGACACAGTTCTACAATGTTAACAGTAACAAATACTACCACCAGAGGGGCCCAATATTTCAAAATTTTAACCTCGGGCATTTTCGTAGTTATTGTTTGGATCAATGGAACCCTCTAAAATACGATACAATACACAATATACGTATAGTACTGGAAATAATAATGGAAATGGTGAATAAAAAAATCCCACCTCTTTTATCGTAAGAAATGAAACGCACCGGATACAGTCACGTGTTGATATTTTACACTGTGACTGGTTGACTTTCAGCCAAACACATTATTATAAAACTTGTAAAATTACATGCAGTCATACTATGACAAATAGTAGTAGTAGTAGTAGTGTTAGGCCGTCATACTAAACCCGATTTTTAGCGTTATAAACCCAAGGCCTACCGCTGAGCCACTGGATAGCTAATAACATACAGTGCTAATATACACTGGTAGGTTTATTAACACTAGTCACGGCATACTGGAAGCCCCTGGTGGCTCACTAGTAAGTTTTAGGGCTTATGACACTAAAAATCTGGCTTCGATACTCTAAAAACTCTAAGACAACTTTTAGTTCTGAAGATAATATTTTCGTTAAAAATACTTTTTACGTCAGTATTGGTTTAAATAAATTCTACTCTAAATTGAACACACCAGAAGGTAAATTGGGGCTATGAAATTATGTCTAATCAATGCCTTTTAAGGTGAGTACTCAAATTAATAGTTTTTTTACCTTATCACAGATGGCGCTAGGGTATATTGTGTTATAACTGGCAGTGCTGCTGCCGCAGATAATACTGATAACCAGCTTAGTATGCTTTCTTACAGGCAGTGGAAGCCGCCTGCAGAGAGCAACGGGTGTGTAAGATGAGGACATCGCCTGAAACTTTAGGAGGTGATCCATGCCCTGGTGTCAGAAAATACGCCGAAGTAGCGTACAAATGCCGACCAGGTAATAAAGCCTGATTTTTTGTTGTTGTTTAGAAACTTGAATTTTGTTTAACATTCGCTATATTACTAATGGTACTAGCACTGTTTTATAAAACACAAGAGAAGAGAAAGGCTGGATAAGAATAAAACATTTAAAACCTTCCAGTGAAGTTTTTATGATTTAAAACATATGAGATTTAGCTAATAATAGCAAACCACATACAGTTAGTCTGAAAATGCTAGTATATCATGAACGGTAAACCAGAAAATGATAGCAGGCCATACGTGGTAAGCCTAAAATGCTAGTATATCATGAACGGTAAACCAGAAAATGATAGCAGGCCATACGTGGTAAGCCTAAAAATGCTAGTATATCATGAACGGTAAACCAGAAAATGATAGCAGGCCATACGTGGTAAGCCTAAAAATGCTAGTATATCATGAACGGTAAACCAGAAAATGATAGCAGGCCATACATGGTAAGCCTAAAAAAATGATAGTAGGTCACACACAGTAAACTAGAAAATGATCCCAGACCATACGTGGTAAGCCTAAAAGTTATAGTAGGTCACACACAGTAAATCAGAAAATGATAGCAGGCTATACGTGATAAGCCTAAAAATGATAGTAGGTCACACACAGTAAACCTGAAAATGATCCCAGACCATACGTGGTAAGCCTGAAAATAATAGTAGGTCACACACGGTAAACCAGAAAATGATAGCAGGCCATACGTGGTAAGCCTGAAAATAATAGTAGGTCACACGCGGTTATCCTGAAAATGATAGCAACTCACATACGGTAAGTCTGAAAATGATCGCAAGCCATATGTAGTAAGTCTGAATATGATGAGATTACACATGATAAGCTTGAAAATTATAGTAAATCATACAAAATAAGCCTAAAAGTAGTAGTAGATCAGAGTAAGCTTGAAAATGATAACAGGCCTCGTGCGGTTAGCTTGGGAATTATTGAAGATAACACTCGTGACACTGTAACCTGCTAACCTGTAAGCCTAAAGCAATTTAGTGCCTAAATAGTTTAGAAAAATGTGTTTATTAAAATGTTGATTGGATATGGGCTTCGCTGGTAGTTCTGGGATTAATAATTTATTACTTATTACAGTGTGTCACTTCTTTCAACAGTCGACTTGACATCAAAAAGAGGCTTAACTTAATACAATGAAAAAAATACTTTAAAATGTATATGCCAATTAAGTTTATCATAAGTCCCCTTTTCTCGTATTTTCAGTGTCTCTTATTCAAGGTTTGCCCAAAATTTTGCACGTATAAGTTTCTATAATATTAACAAAGTTTAAATAACTTTTAATTAATATTATGATGATTAGATAAACTTCAGAGTTTGTGACTAAAGAAGGTTGATATTCGTAAGTTAATGAATTAATATTCGCTTCATGTGTACAGAATACATCAATCCTATCAATATTTAATTTAGTGTTATATAATAATCATTAAACTTTCAAGTCAAGTAAGCTGTCTCTGTTTTCGGTTAAGCGTAAAGTTTCTGTTTAAAATTTAACTACACGTAAAAGATTAAAACGTTGTATATAAGTAACCACTTAGAAATAGAACACAAGAGTTTAATTCTATTTTAAGATGCTACTGGTATATTTGAGGGTATTTTATTTAACCTGTTATTTCATCTTACTTAAATATTAAAGCCCCCTAGTGGCACAACGGTAAGTCTGCGAACTTACAAAGCTAGAAACCAGTTTTCGATACCCCTGGTGGGCAAAGCACAGATAGCCCATTGTGTAGCTTTGTGCTTATACTACAAACAAATAAATGTTGAATATTAATGTGTTGTTATTATTATGTATTAAAAACACAGCGTTGATAATAGTAGATCACACACGGCAAGTCTGAATATGATAGTAGATATATACGTTAAGCCTAAAATTTATCACAGGTCACACGCGGTTAGCCTAAAAATGATAACAACTCACACACGGTAAGTCTGAAAATGATTGCAAGCCATATGCAGTAAGTCTAAAAATAATAGCAGGTCATACAGAGTAAGCCTCAAAATGCTAAGAGATTACACATGATAAGCCTGAAAATGATAGTAAATCACACACGGTAAGTCTGAAAATGATAGTAAATCACACAAAATAAGCCTGAAATAAATAAGGTAATTGTGTTTCTATGAAATATTTAACAACACAACCTTCATAAAGTAGACATAATTTTATTGAAAATCAAAGGATCGTTCTGTTGTTGTTATCCTATTTTTCATCAACAACAAGTATTTTGGTTGAGAATGTTCGTTAAATCTAGGAAATTTATGGTTGTGATAAAGAGTTCTTATTTAGATTTTACGGGCAGTTGTTCAAGAGCCCCCACCTCCTGTATATGAGAAGTAAAAGCAAATTGCAGAAACAAACGCGAAGTGTAAAAAATAAAAGTTAAAATAAATGAAACCTACTTTTTGCTTGTCTGTTTCTCGTTTTTTTTTTTTCACTTTTTGATATCCCCCTCTCAAATCTATACGTTTGGAAAATATTATCCTTCCAGGCTTTGCACGCGCAGGACCCAAGTCCAGTTTCACTAATTGGAAATACGGTCCTAGTCCTGATGCAGCTTCTTTAATTTCATAAGGACTGGAGGCCCGGCATGGCCAGGTGGTTAGGGCGCTCGACTCGCAATCTGAGGGTCGCGGGTTCGAATCCCCGTCCCACCAAACATGCTCGCCCTTTCAGCCATGGGGGCGTTATAATGTGACGGTCAATCCCACTATCCCTTGGTAAAAGAGTAGTCCAAGAGTTGACGATGGGTGGTGATGACTAGCTGCCTTCCCTCTAGTCTCACACTGCTAAATTAGGGACAGCTAGCGCAGATAGCCCTCGTGTAGCTTTGCGCGAAATTAAAAACAAACATTCATAAGGACTAGTGTGCGCTTTAATCAATCCAAATGCGTTTTTTCTGTTGCTGTTTTTTCTTTTTGAGGATTTAGCGGGTTTTAATTATTTCCAGTTTTCTTGTAACGTTCCTATTGTTTTATTTCCTCCTCACAGATATTTTTTACAATGAGATTGCTTGCGATGGACAACGGCTAAGATTGCGCTGTTCGAAATCTATGAGGATTGTTATATACTCTGCTTCGTTTGGTGGAACTCGATTTGGGGTACCAGAGTGTTTGCAACCAGAGGGTGCTGGAAACCAAGGTAAGACAGTGGATGAATTTTTGTTTGAACCAGATTTGAATATCCTAAATTAAAATCGTTGAGAACTTGGGTAAGATATTAAGTGTCTTTTTGGTGGAACTCTATGAGGATTGTTATATACTCTGCTTCGTTTGGTGGAACTCGATTTGGGGTACCAGAGGGTGCTGGAAACCAAGGTAAGACAGTGGATGAATTTTTGTTTGAACCAGAGTTGAATATCCTTAAGTAAAATCGTTGAGAACTTGGGTAAGATATTAAATGTACTTTTATTTGTGAAATTGGTAAAGACATACCCAGGAGCTGATGTCAACTCTGATTTTAATCCAGCAGTAATGAAATTGAAGTTTGGATGTTGACCTATTAAAATGTGATGACTATAACATAAAATACAATGTTGCAATGATAAATAACTTTGACCTATTGTACATACGAGAACTAGAACAATCAATCAGACTACACAATGGATGAAAAAGATATGGTAGAAAGAAGATTGAAAACAGGTTAAGGACAAAATAAAAACATCACTCAAAGAAATACTTCCAATTAAAAACAAGAAAATGAAATAGTTGACTAATGAGATACTGAAGAAGATGTAATTAAGATAGGAATAAAAGAATACTGTCAAATATGAAGCAATAAATAGATATATAACAACTGAAGGCAGAAAAGTGAAAGAAAACTGGCTGACAGACCAATGTCAGGAGATTGAGAAACTTGAAAGTCTACGTAGATCCAAAGAATTTCATGATAAAGTAAAAAAAAAATTAAACAACACAAGAGAAGACAATGGATGCATAAAATGCAAAAATGGGAATATCCTATTTGATCAATAAGAGATTTCAGAAAGATGGGTATAATACATAACGGAACTATGTGATGATGATAGAGAACCAATTCCAGACTTTGGAGCAACAACTGGACAAACCATCCTTAAAGATGAAGTGTGGAAAGTCATAAGCTTAATGAAAAATGGAAAGACAACTGGATGTCAGCAGAGGTGTTGAAAGCATTAGTAACTACAACCTTAATATTATAACTGACTTATGGATATAATATATAACACTGGATACATACCAACCGAAATGAAGCAATCTATACTTGTTCCACTACCAAAAACACCCAAAGCACAGAACTGTACAGACTTTAAAACAATCACTTTAACGAGTCATATCATCAAACTATTCTTGAAAGTAATACAGCAACGAATAGCAACCAAAATAGACCAAGAAGTAAGCAACTTACAGAGTGGATTAGGCCAAGAATGTGGCGCAAGAGAAGGTATTTTTAATCTGAGAACAGCCTGTGAACCTGCCATACAAGTCCAACAAAAGTAAGCAACTTACAGAGTGGATTAGGTCCAGAATGTGGCACAAGAGAAGGTATTTTTAATCTGAGAACAGCCTGTGAACCTGTCATACAGGTCCAACAAAGGTAAGCAACTTACAGAGTGGATTAGGCCCAGAATGTGGCACAAGAGAAGGTATTTTTAATCTGAGAACAGCCTGTGAACCTGCCATACAGGTCCAACAAAATGTATATACCTTACACTATGACTTTTGATAGGGTCAAACACTTAAAGATGACACAATGCTTACGGGAGATAGGAATTGATGAGAAAGATCTCCAGATCATCACAAAGATGTATTGGGAACAAGCAGCAGTAGTAAGAACAGAACAGGGAGTAACACTGGAATTTAAGATCCAGAGAGGCCTAAGAACAAGGATGTGTATTATCGTGTACTTTGTTCAACCTATACACAGAAAACATATTTAGAGACATAGAACATATAAAGGGAGTAGTGATCGGTGGAATTAACATCGACAACCTAAGATATGCAGATGAAACAGCACTACTAATTCTAAGTGTATCAGATCTACAAGAGTTAGTAAAAGAAGTAAATGAAAAAAGAGAAAATACTATGGAACGGAGATGAATACTAAAAAAAAAAGACCAAATCAGTGGTAGTAACTAAGAGCCTAGATGTACCTAGAATTAATCTAACTATAGAGAGAACATCAATTGAACAAATCAAAGGTGTTTATATATTTGGGACACATGAGCACCGAAGATGATAAGAGAGAAGTGGAAATTCAAAGAAGAATATAAATAGCCATGAGGTTATTTAACACCATGTCAAAAATATAAACATTAACATAACAACATGGATGAGACTAGTCACATACTACGTGTGGTCAACCCTACTGTATGGTGCTGAAACGTGGACAATATCTAAAGCGAAAATATCTTGGACAGAACATAAGACAAATAAGAAAATAAGCAGAACGAAATATGGTTAAGTAAGTTGTCGACAACATAAAGCCCGGCATGACCAGGTGGTTAGGGCGCTCGACTCACAATCTGAGGGTCTCGGGTTCGAATCCCCGTCCCACCAAACATGCTCGCCCTTTCAGCCGTGGGGGCGTCATAATGTGACGATCAATCCCACTATTCGTTGGTAAAAGATTAGCGCAAGAGTTGGCGGTGGGTGGTGATGACTAGCTGCCTTCTCTCTCTAGTCTTACACTGCTAAATTAGGGACCGCTAGTACAGATAGCCCTCGTGTAGCTTTGCACGAAATTCAAAACAAACAGACAACATATAAAAGAGTCCAAAGAAGACCGACACTATTTCGGACAGTTTCCAGATTTCACACTGAAACGAAACATTGATTTGTTCTTAAGCATTTATTGTGATAAAGGGTAAGAAATGTGAAGTCAAGGCAGTTTCAGGAATTATTACTTATTGATTGATTCTAATTAAACACAAAGCTACACAATGGGCTATCTGTGCTCTGCCCACCACGAATATCGAAACCCAGTTTCTAGCGTTGTAGGTCTGCAGACATACCGCTGTGCCACTGGGTGAGGCTTACCATCTTATCACCGTGAAGCTACTTCCAGTGTTTACAAAAAACCATGTATTCTGGTCTTAATGTCGGTACGAATCTGTAAACTAGGTTTAATCATTTTAAATCACGTTATTCTGAAGAATCCCGAAAGAGTTGAAAATAAAAATAGAATAACTCTCTATTAGACACATCATTTGGGAGTACATTAGTTTGAATTATTTATAGATCAAAAATGTAAATATTTTCGTGTTTTTAACAGATTGTCAAGTCAGTTATGCAACGGAAACGGTACTCAGAAGCTGCCTCGGGAAACAGTTGAAAATAAAAAATAGAATAACTCTCTATTAGACATAATCATTTGGGAGTACATTAGTTTGAATTATTTATAGATCAAAAATGTAAATATTTTCGTGGTTTTAACAGATTGTCAAGTCAGTTATGCAACGGAAACGGTACTCAGAAGCTGCCTCGGGAAAAGAAAGTGTTCTATTGCAGCTGACAAGGACACCTTTGGTGACCCGAGTTGTCCCCAGGGATCCTCGTTGTTTTTGAAAGTAGTTTACACATGCGGTAAGTGGAATGATCTAACGAACCGAAAACATAGAGTCTCAATCCAAAAGTGTTTTGTTATAAAACCTGATCATTCTTTAGCCATTTTAAAGAAAACAGTTTTGTTAACTTCTATTGTTAATTAAATCTCTTGGATAATACTAAAAGTGGACGTTTTACTTTGGCAAATAAATTTACATATATTTTTTTTAATCTATTACCCAGTTCCCAAAGAAATACTAAGAGATCCTGAACTAGGGCTAGAAAAAGATAAAAATGACCCTGAAGAAGATCATAAGGTGTTCCAGAAGGAAGCCAGCTACGACTCTACAACATCAAGTCCAGAGATTAGAGAAGAAAATAACGACGGAATTAAAAGTACAGCGATTCAAAACCTACTGCCAGGTGGGCGAGAATGTCTTTCAGTTACAGGATTGGTTGAATATATATTTAATCTACAATACTATTATCAATTTTTTACAAATAATTCCAACCATTACGGTAGTGTTACACAGCTAATTCCTAACATTGTGTTTGCTATTTCTATTTAACGAAACCGAATAATTTCATACTTTAAATCGACAAACAACTGGATTAAAGTGACAAACACCAGGGGTAGTTTTGCAACGAATTCCATAACCTGTGTTTGCTTTCTCTATTTGGTTAAACCAAATGATTTCATTACTTGACTTTGACAAACACGTGGAGTAGTTCCAAGTAAACATTGAAAAAAAAAAAAGTCACTTATCAGAGTAGCATAGTTAAGTGCTCTTAACTTACGTCATTAAAACTGCTTCCGATTTTCTGTTCTGTTTATCTGTTTACTCTATGACTTCCATAAGCGCGTTAAACTCGCACGTGACTAAACACTCCTATTTTGATTCTGAGTTATATTTGTGCTGTGTCTCCACTTTTAATATGTTTAACTGAAAGTTATTACTGGTGACACTGTGTCCTAATCACAGGAGCAAATATAGGGTTTTTTGAAAGGGGGGGGGGTACCCAACGCTAGAATCAGAATATAATCTTAAATTACAAATATAGGCCTAGTTGTAACGTTACATGTAATTCTTTAATAATATATTAATTAGTAAAAGTAATACATTATTGTTGTTGTTTTGCGCAAAGCTACGTAAGAGGCTATCTGCGCGGGGTATCGAACCCTGGATTTTAGCATTGCAGGTTCGTAAACCGGGGAGCAAAAACGTTATCAATAATAAGTTATTTTAGGGTTTCACAAATTGAGTAATAAATATTTTTTACTTGTATTTTCCCCTCAGGAAAATAGGGGGGGTCATGTCCCTTGGCCCCCTTGGATAATATTTATTTATTTTTTATATTTTTATGGTATTATTTTATTGATTTTAGCTGAAAACGCTCTTATTACTTCGTGTCTGACGAAATTACATGTAGTTTCTAGTTTGTAAGAAATATGTTGTTTTTTCTTGTGCTACCACAGCTCGGTGCTCCCCCAGTGGGACAGCGGTTTGTCTGCGGACTTATACTGCTACAAACCGGGTTTCGATACCCGTGGTGGGCAGAGCAGCTTTGTGCTTAATAAGAAACAACAACTACAACTCGAGAATTTCTTTGTCTCCTAGTTTAGTTGCTGCACCTTTAATTTCTACGTCGATGTTAGTACTCTAACATTCAAATCTGTTCGTCACGATGCCTTGTTAATAATAAAGTGTTAACCAATTGATTGAAGTGATATTTAGAGTTGAGTTGTTCTTTCATTTAGGAACGAATTCCGTGTTTCCCATCTCGAAATGTTGAATATTGAAAGATGAGTCTTATTCTAATTACACTATTACTCCATTCCACTTAGGCTTAAGTTCCTAAAGTCGTAGTCTCGAAATGTTGAATATTGAAAGATAAGTCTTATTCTAAGTACACTATTACTCCATTCCACTTAGGCTTAAGTTCCTAAAGTCGTAGTCTCGAAATGTTGAATATTGAAAAATAAGTCTTATTCTAATTACACTATTACTCCATTCCACTTAGGCTTAAGTTCCTAAAGTCGTAGTCACTAAACATTACAACACTAGGGTA